TCAAGTTCACGTTTCGAATTTTAATCTTTTACTTAGTTGTTATCCGGACTTTACAGCAAGTTAACATGAATATATCAAGTAAGTGTTGTTGTTTCAATATTAATTAGTTTCTCGTATAATTAATCATAATTATGTGTCAAGTAGAGCATGGTTAGGAAGTGTTAGTTCTGTGAGAGACAGCGGGCGGCGCGCGCGTCCGCCGGTCACGTGGTGCAAAGCACGCGCCAAAACAAGAATTATTAAAATACGTTTTTATAAGCGATAAATTATACAATACCATTAGTCAAGATATACAATACTTTGTTAGACGTGGAAATAGTAAAGTGAGTACATTAATACTTTTGTCTTTTTTTATTTAAACAATACTTGTCATCTGCAAGAGTTATTGAATTAGAAAAAAGGTTTTTTTTATCCGCTTAAAACTTTTAAATATACTGCCTGTATTTTTTCTTTAATTAAGATTTTAATCAGTTCTTTAAGAATGTTTAAGACGCCCTACTGTTAAGGAAAATCCTATCCTCAGATTGTTATAAAGATTTTTTATTCAAATATTAAAATTTACAAAATACTGTCTCTTCATAATTAGATAACATCTTTTTTTGATAACAAGGTAAATCTTTATTAAATAGTCTCTGGGGGTAAACAAGTTTAATGTAAATTTTAACTCGGTAAACCCAACCCCCTGTAAGGTTACTGCTGGGACCTTCAAGAGACCACAAAAGGGACCATTATATATGTACTTGATTGTGGTGATTTTCGAACACACTAGGATACACAAAATATCTCAAACCAATTCTTAGGCAAGATTGATATTTGCCTTTCGTATTTTTTTTTAAGAATTTTCAAACAATATCGTATCTTTTTTCGTTTTCAATATATTACGTAAGACTTAATTTTCTCCCCTCCACTTCATTTAAAATATTCACATAGAGATTGTTATACCTCCTAAGACTTCACGATTAAAGAATGACTCCTCATATAACCTTACTACTATATGCTTTTAATTTTATTCACAACTAGCTTTCTCCCGCGACTCCGTCCGGTTGGTATTGGAAAAAACAAAAGTGAATATCTGTTTTTCCAGATTATCCTCTACACCTGTGCCAAATTTCACCGAAATCCGTTCAGCTTTTTAGGCTACAAACTCTAACAAACATCCATCCATCCATCTAAACTTTCACATTTAATCTAACTTCTAACTAATATTATAAATGGGAAAGTTAAGATGGATGGATGGATGTTTGTTAGAGTTTGTAACCTAAACGGAATGAAATGTGGCATAGATGTAGAGCAGAGTATGGAAGAACACATAGGCTACTTACTTTTGTTTTTTTAATACCACGCGGACGGAGTCGCGGGCGAAAGCTAGTTTGAAATATTAGTAAGAATAATAAGATTTAATAGTCAAACACTATAACAGTTAAAAATCAAAAACATTTTAAAACTATTTATCTCTATTTCAAATTATCATAACAGGTTTTTAAGATTTCACAACATAACTAAAGGGTTCTCACCTACTCGAAATTTTCAAAACTTGTTTAAAGTGTTTTAAGGTTTTATTCTATTGACAGTTTTCTTAATTCATTAACGGCTAAATATTAAGACACTAAATTATACAACATAATTTTTGGCCACGCCTAAACTCCAAATTCCACTTAAATTTCAAAGTCCATGATATTGGTAGCGACGCTTGCAGAGCGAATTTTTAAAATATGTTTCAATCTCCGGCCTTATATCTACTATTTAAAAAAAACTATATTATTTTACTCGTCTTAATTACAAAAAAACTCTTAATTACACTTTAGCGGTTAAAATCGATAAATAAATCACATTTTAATTGCGCGTTTAATAAAAAAGTAACTTTTTATGTGTAAAAAAATAATCATCTATTAGATGACACTTTCTTGTTCGTGGGAACCGTTTTTGTATGTTTTTTTAATTGCTTGTATCGTTAAAAAACAACTAAATAACGCCGAGCAACCAGTGAGTTTGTTTGGGATTTTTGACTTTTACTTTTTTGACTAAATGGACCTGTTTTGCAGTGCAGTGTGCAGTACAACGTACAATTATTGAAATCCCACTTGACCGGAGTGAAGCTAGCTACGTACCAAATAAATCAGAGCCCTCTATGACAATTTTTTCATAATTTTAAAAACATTTTCGATAATTTTAAAAAAATTACTAGCTGTTGCCCGCAACTACGTCCGCGTGGCATTAGAAAACATACGAACTATATTAATAACAAAAAAACTACGTATCCCTCGAGAACCGGACATTTTTTGCGGATGAACCTTATCCCGTGTGTACTCAGACATTGTTTTACATCTGTGTCAAATTTCAACATATGTGGAACCATTGCGGAATAGTAAATAATAAAATTAATGCATTCCACGGGAACAATAACTATTTCCGGGAAAAAGTAGCCTATGTGTTCTTCCAGACTATGCTCTACATCTATGCCGATTTTCATGGAGATCCGTTCAGCCGTTTATTCTACAAACTCTAACAAACATCCATCCATCTAACTTTTCGCATTTATAATATTAGTATGAAGTATGATTATTAAACACTTTTGAGGTGCAATTCATTATGAACTTAGTAGTACTATTTATAAAGTTGTTTTCTGTTTGACCCAGCAGCAGGGTGCACACCATGCAGCGTACTCCGAGCACGTCGGAGCGCACGCCACTAGTGCAGCCCGCATACGTGTTCGAGTCCAGCATTTCTCGTAGCTACCAGAAGCGTTTGCGCAACTTTCAATGCTTCGTCTGCATTGTTCTCATGTAAGTGCACAGATAATACAAAGCCACTGTCAATTTTAATTACCATCCAATGTCCTTAGAGTCAGCAGAGTATGTACTTAAAGCTCTGTTTACATCTGTCCAGTACAGTTGTGACAGTAATTCATAGATTGTCAAAGATTATATACTCACTGGTGTTACCGCTCACACTGTGCTAGTTGATTGCCACTCCAATTATTGAGCACTAACTGTACTGGCCAAGTGTGAACCCAGGTATTACTGTTTTTGCTAATCACCCGCCTATTTATTTAATCGATTTCTCCTTCTCATACCTTACTGGCTGTGAAGGCGGAAAGGTTTAAATTAGTATTACGGTCTATCTTCTGTGTAGTCGATATGTTTATAGATAATTGTAGAATTTTAAATAATCATGATTTTACATAATGTTTACAGCTTCCGATGATAATAATATTTATCTAGTTAAGATAAAAAATGTGCTAACATAATAAAATAGTGTGATAACGTCAATAATCTATCTATACATATATTACAATTGGAGTGTCTGTAATATTAAAGGCTGATTCCTGATCTTGAGAAGATGATGTATTTGACTTATTAAAACTTTCGTGAGACATTATACTACATAAATTATAACACGGCTAAACTCACGTGACCGTCAGTGACCGTCGCGACGCGATAGCGACTATACCCAATTAATCACTCACCCTGAAAAAGGACCCCCAACGGGTTCGAAACTGTCGGTGCCTACACCGAATGTTATCACGTGAGTTTAGCCGTGTTATAATTTATGTATGATGTATTTGCATTACTGATAACGAAAATCGCATTTAAAATGTTTTTGTCTGTCTGCCTGTCTGAAACGGTTGGGCCGATTTCGACCGGACATTCACTGAAGGGTAACTAACATAGACGGGCACATTATAGGCTACTTTTTATCTCAATATTGCGTGAACGAAGTCGCGGGAAATAGCTAGTTAAGAATCATATTAAAAACATTTTTAAACATCGTAAACTAATTGAAAGTGCACGTGCCATTAATCGATATAATCTAAGATTTGTGAAATGTTATCTTATTTAATGAACTACGTATTAAATTTACATAAGGAATATAAAGAAACCTGTTTTTTTATCTTTTTGTCAAATAAAACATTGTAAAGAATAGAATACTATGCTTTTCAGATGTTCTTGGTAAAGAAAATGTTAATAAAATGATAAACGAAAGACTTGCAATGAAGAAATATTGAGTAGGTACAATTGGTCATTTACGTAAAAATATTAATGGCGCACTAGTGATGTGCCTCGATGTCGCAGGTAACGGAAAAATAGACACATAAACTTCTTAGTAGTTAGTAACTTTTTAGTTGAACTAAATTACACAATATTATAACATTTCACAATGTGTTTTCAGAATTATAATTAGAATTTTCCGAATGTATCGTAGATTTTTATTGTATTTTTACTAACTGACGTGACAGATGATGAAGTCATATCTTAGTTTTTTCCTTCATAAGGTTTTTCTTCTGAAAATAAACACAAACAATTGACGTTCATATCCAGGGAATTGCATAGATATAAATTTTATACGGAACAGATAATATTAAAATGTTCAGAAGCACAAACATTCTTTATATATTACGAAGATTTAATCTATCTATACTATTATAATAAAGCGTAAACACACACTTCTTTGTTGCCTAAGATGTCAGCAATCACAGCATATTTTTGAATATTTGTTTTTTAATAAAAAGCCCTGCAATTGCGTCACGCTTTAGGTTATATATTTTCACGCAATTAAACTTAGGGGGTAAATATTTTGGATAAAAACCCTAATGTGGGAAAAAGACCATAAGTTGCTGCCAACATCAAGGAAGCAAGGTTGTCATCATGTCCTGTCATTTTGATATTTGTAATTTGACCAATGCAAACAATAAAATAAAGTTTTCATAATTTCAAGCGGGTGAAGTCGCACGAGAACAGCTAGTAGAATATAAATGCCGGCACGAGCTAGATGTCTATTATAACATATTACATACGTCTAAAACAAGAAATACCAGTTAATTTATTTTTTTTATAGTTAACGAATTTTTGTCATACTGTTTTGTAATTCAAATAAAGGATTGTAATCTTATAAATCAGAATTTTTACTGCCGTAATATCTTTTAGACAATTTTTTCAGACTCTTAAGACTGTTTATTCTAATTTAAATTATAAGTCCTTGTACACTTAACCAATTTAATTATTTTTATAGTATAGGCCGTTTCAAATATCTTGGCTAAAGGTCAGCAGCGCGGTGACCTTTCCTTTACTCCCAGCTTCTTCTAAGTTGCGTAGCGTTTACTGCGATTTGCCGAGCCACCAAAAAAACAATCTCTATAACAATGGTATTTTAGGACACTATGTAAAGAATAAATAGCGTTGCGTAATCACATATTCACGACCTATATTTAGACTTTCCTGGAATTTAGCCTAAACTATTAAGTCGATATCCACGCCAATAAAAGCAAGGTGCATTACGTACCTTACAAGCTTATAACAACGTAGTTGAAATATGACTGGTTAGTCAAAAATTAAAAATTTAAAAACCGGAAGAAAGCCTGACTATCTAATGATTTTAAACTAGCGTAAAATAATACGTTAAAGTTATAAACACTTAGTTATTATTTATTTACTCACTACGAGCAGTACTCACAAGTGTTAAATCGTAAAAATATTAAATTGATACATTAAGTAAACACCATACAACTTGTATTTTTTAACTTTTACTTTTTCGTTTCGTAACGTGAACTTGTTTAACACACAGACATCCGAAATAAAAGTAAAATTAAGTTAAGTAAATAGGGTAAAGTATACTTAAAAATTAATAAATGTGCACTTGTAAAAAAACATTTACAAATAACGTGTGATATTGTTCTCTTTAACAAAATATTGGTCTATTGTAATTCTAATTATGCCTAGTTCACACTTGGCCAGTCCAGTTACACAGTAGCACTCAATAACTCAAGCGTCATCCATGTCTATACAATCCATCTTAGGCTTGTACCACGTTGCAGCAAGCAACACAACAGATTAAGGTAAGGCGTACCCAGGAAATCCGAAAAACAGGCCATTCCATTCCATTCCCTGATTGGTTCACTAACTCCGCCCACTTAACAGGAAAACAACGCGAAAACGATTTTAAATTAGGAACTTGCCCTACCTTAAATTGCTTTTTATGACACAGTGTGCTGCTGTCAGTGACCCTACTCGTCACTGTAGGTTATAACCTGGGGCTGGAGACCAGCGCCCTGGGCGAAAACCAGGATGTCGACAACACGACGCTACCGACCACACTGTTGCCTCTACTCACCATGACATGGCCACTTTCAGGTAAGAGATTTAAAATAATTTATCTATTTTTAATATTATAAAGTGGAAACACTTATTTATGTAGAATGCCGGCAATCACAGCATATTTTAATAATCTTATTATTATCATCTTATTAATAAAAAGCTCTATACTTATGACTTGCTTTAGTCTATACATATTAACGTTATTAAAGGGTTTGAGTGAATTGGAAAATTCCTCGGCAAGAAATTGACGAAAACTACAAGCCAGAAGCTCCAATGTTGCTATGATTAGTTCAATTCTCAGGGCGCAAGGGTCTTCATTACTGTTGGACATTAGAGTTTTACGGACGGAGTGTTATGGGAACAGCTAGTTTGATAAAATAATAATGTGGATATATAAAAACATTGAAACATTTTTTTGATGACAAGGATATTTTTAAGACTTTGTTATTTTCTCCGCTATTTTCGGCGATGACTACTGAATAGTTATTTTTCTTTTTGTAGACTAGAACTTCCATTTTTATTGTGATCTTTATCAATTGACGTCAATGCTAATTCCTGATCCCACCAAAAGGCCTATTGCTATTTTTTTTTCTATTATCACATACTTAAAAAGCCAATTTATTCAACCTTCAAGGAATCCAAAAATAACACTGATTAAAATATTATAGGATACAGGATAGGATTACATTAAAATGTCTAACTTAATCTAATATCAAATCAACATTGATTTCCGGGGTATTAAAAAACCAAGTATCCTATGTGTTCTTCCAGACTATCCTCTACATCTATACCAAATTTCATTTAGTGTAGTGTGTAGTATTTTTATTATTCTTTACGAGGTATATGTAAGCAAGTCTGTCAGGCCTATCTTACTTAGAATAAAGATTCTCTTGTAGAACTTATGATATCTAAAGTAAGGGAGCACAGTTATTTTATTATGAGCATTTTTCTTATCTTATTTTTATTTCAACTTATCCTTGTTGTCGACGTACTTGAACTTAATATCCTATTACAAACAGTAAATACTTAATTTTTTTTTTCGAGAGAATCGTTAAATACACATCAACGCCTATTAAGTAAAAAATCAACAAATCGTTAAAAGTACATTAATAAAAAAGTTGTTAATTCTAGAAAGCAATAAACGGTTTAAAATAATTATGACAAAAAACTATCAGATTTAATTACATACATAAAAAATGTGATTAAAAAATGATATAAAAACATTTGATACGCAATACTACACTAATTGACATTTTGTTAATAATTCGTAATCGTAATAGGTGATATAATCAAGAGGAGAGTGATGACTGAGATGACGGATGATAGAGTTATTTGCAAGACTGAAACACGGTGCGTGCACCCTACGGTAATACCATAAGGCAGGGGAGATGATGAAAACATTACAAAAGCGCTGTCGAAGAATTTTGATTTTAAATAACGAGATACTATCGCTTTGGGCAACCAAAAGCCTTGAAGCATAGATAAAAATTACTCATTAACGCCTCCATTTGTCGTCCAACATCTATCGTACGTGGATTTTTTATTTAATTTTGAATATCTAAACGACACGCGCTTAAAAACAGGTTGTGTTGACCTTTTTTTTGGTACTTGATGAAATAAAAAATTCCTCGCAACGTAGATAAAGAATCCTAATTGATAAAAAAAAACCATTTCTAGAAGTAAAAAGATTATTAACGGTTAGTTTTCTTTTTTTTCAACAAGTTGAATGACCGATACCTAACTAAGCTCTATTTCGTTATTGGATTAACTGAACAGTGAAGTTTGACATACGATAGTGTTTTTAAATGGGTAATGTCTTTTTTGCCTTAAACGATTTTTTAAGCAACATTAACTTTAAAATGTAGCAAATTAAAATACATCGACACAGTCAACAATAGAGTAAAATAAAATACGAAATTAGAACTTTTTTATATTCAAATGCAAAAATACAATACAAAAAAAAATCTAAAACTTCCACTGAGTTTCCGGACATATGTTTAGTTTTGGCGATAATCAACAAGACAATCCCACTCACTCCCTTTCATTATTATTACTCTTAAAATATAGTAAAAAAACACAAACTCAGTTGCACTATTATACCTATAGGCAAGCCATCAGCAGCATGGATGAACGATCACCCGAGTACGGAGGCCGTGGCATCCGCCGTCACCGCCGGCCATCAGGCGCTTGCAGAACGGAGGAAGCTGGAATCTTCTCTGGTCCCGCTGTCAATGGACACGCCAGCGGCGCGAGCGCAACGTGCAGCTGCCACTGCTGCCGCCGTCAAACCCTTAGCAGAGGCAGCCTTTGCTGCAGAACACGCTACCAGGGTCCTCACCAATGGGTATGTTATGTATAGTCAATTCGATCTCTACTTAGGATGGGTAGGTAATATACTTCCTCTACTGTGGCAGCTTTATGTGGTTTTAAAGTTCTTTTTATTTATGTATTTTTATAATAAAAAAATGTTGAGACACACTTAAAAATGAACTCTTGACCTGGAAATTTAACATTGAATATGTTTTAATATTTTAACATTTTCAAAATAGTTTTTTTTGAAATAACAACTTTAACATAATTAAGTATTGCTATTAATTATAATAATTATTTACGTCATTCATTAACATTTACATATTAATTTTACAGGATGCAATTTATCTAATAACAAATTGTTGTTATCGTTTTTGTATCTAGATATTTACATAAGAGAATTATTAATGTTGTAAATAACAATATTTGGCAAAATTAATTATTACATCGTTCGGTTTTAAAATCAAGAACATTTAATACATATGTGTGTTCACACAAACTTGTACTATTAGTACTAATACGTTGTACTAATTGTACTAGTATGTTACGTAGTTGTAGATGACCGGCACAAGACTAATAATTTCATGAGCTTGTACCAATTCTGAGTTATTAATGCGTCGACAGACTTCCTTTAGTTGTCAATTAGATATCCCGAACAACGTACAATCGCTCTGGATAACGTGACCTTGCAAGATATACCATACAAATATGCAACTTCCATTAAAAGTACAAATGTCTGAACGAGAAACTAACTTAATAATCATAATTCAAGATCAAGTTATTAAAAAAGACGTTATTTTTCGCTAAATTAAAACTTTACGTGATTCGTTTTCCAAGCTTTATTATTCTAAGTCAGCAATTCTCAAGTTACAGTTAAGTAGCAGTAAGAGAGCCACAGCAAGTTAAGCCTGTTAGACCTAACCGCTTTCTTGTAAGCTGCTTACATAGTACATGTTTCCTTATATGCTAAAACGTATTTTCTTAAAACACCTTTAATATCCACATAATGCTTATGTATATTTATTATATGTATAATTTAAGTTTTATTGTCGGAATTAGAAAATGTCTGATAACAATCGAATCGTAAAATATTTGATGGAAATATCGGATTTTATTACCTTATCTGACAGTGACTTCATTTTTAAACTATCTGGGCCTTTGTCAGCCAGTGGGACAGGCGCTTAGTAGCCTATATGTACTTTCAGAATATATATTTACAAATCCATTGAGCTGTTTCGGGGGATACTTTCTAATAGATATCCCTCCATCTAAACTTTTACATAATGCGAAAGTTTAGATGAATGGATGGATGGATAGATGGATGTTTGTTAGAGATTGTAGCCTAAACGGCTGAACGGATTTCGATGAAATTTGGTATAGATGTAGAGGACAGTCTGGAAGAACACATAGGCTACTCACTTTTGTTTTTTTTTTTTAATTCCACGCGGACGGAGTCGCGGGAGTAAGCAAGTTTTCAATATTATATGTAAGATTAGCGAGATTAGTTCTTAATATTTCATTTCATCCTTTTCTATCTGTAAGGTTATATTAACTGTATTATTAAATGTCAGTTTTATGAATAGCTTGCTACATAGGTGAGATATATCGTTTCGGCACCACGGAGATCAAATTACATCATAATCAATGTAACCGATAGTACTGCGGTCTCTATTCACGGACGCATAAACAATTAAACTGACAAAGACAATATACGCAATATTAAGATCATTTTAAAAACTATGGATTAAAAATTAACGGAAATGTTCACAGTAGAAGACTTTAAACATAACATCCAATTCCACATTAGTCTGTTTACGTCTTGCAATAATTGGCTTAGCTTTCTTCTGTGATCAGTGACAATAAACGACACGATTCTCTTTTAAGAAAATTAGTAGACTAATAGACTAAGTATAATATTGGGCAATGCGGTGGCGAGCGCCGATGCGTGAAACCAAATAGTACGGTAAGCCGAGCTCACGTCTGGCTTCGTCTCCGATGCCGCTCGCTATCGAACTACACCGAAATATGAGACACTTCTAATCCTAACCTATTATCGAACATTCTAGATTATACAATGAGTCTTTCGATCGTTTAATATTGTATCTTTTTATACGTTGAATAAAAGTTTTTCGGACTCTTTTACCATTTTTACGTCAACAAATTCGTCTAATCTCTGTATTTCAGTACGGACTCCTCATTGCGTGAGGGCGGTGTTGGCGTGGGACCCGCCACCAACGGGTCCTTCTCGGAGCCCGCGTACTGTCGCCCTCCAACTGCCCCTTGTGTCATGTCCAAATATCGCACGCTAGATGGCACATGCAATAATCTCAACAATCCCATAACATGGGGCGTTTCCAATACACCGTTCAGAAGAGTACTGCCGCCTGATTACGGAGATGGTAAGTGTTGGGTTTTGGGTCAAAATAAGTACGATTATCAATTGTTTCGCACCCAATTCAACTGTTTAGTTGCACAACTAAAAATCAAGTAGTATACGCGTTCGTTTAAGTACGTAAGCATCAAAGCGAGACAACCAGTTTTGCAATATTTTAGTTAAAGTTGTCTCCGCGCTATAAGAAATGTAATTAAACATTATTGCTATTATTTTTTCGTAGGCGTCAATTTTTTTTTAATCTATACTAATATTATAAAGAGGAAAGATTTATATTGAGTATATAAACCAGCGTTTGACCACGATCCCACCTAGAAAATCAATTACATAAATAACCTAGAACAAAATATAATTACAAAAACTTCTCATCAGAAGTGATAGGAACATGTTTTTTTTTTCTACAGGCATCAGTTCCCCGCGCAAGGGCGTGGGCGGCGTGGACCTGCCGAGTGCCCGTGACGTGAGCGTGACGGTGCACCGGCCGAGCTACGCACACGACACCACCTTCACGGTGATGCTGGCCGTGTGGGGACAGTTCCTAGACCACGACATCACCGCCACCGCGCTCAGCAAGGGTCAGTACACGAGAAAAAACGATTCTTGTATCTTGAAGCTTACATACAGAAGTAATTTATCTGATGATCACCTAAAGTCGTTTCTGTTTGTTATAAGATAAAAAAACTGGTTATTAAAAAAGCAACAACGAAGCAAAAAAAACAAATAAACTTCGTGCCACTTAACGCGGCCGGAATGTCCCGCAGAGTTGTGTCGTCGTCAAACAACAACAAAGCATTTGATGGGTTCTCAGAGTTATCAAAAGTCAAAAATTGGTTAAATCGACCTATCACTTGCACCGAAAAATAGCGTTGCGTTTTATTTGCCTTAGCGAAGAAGTTTTAAAAAGACAGTTAATTGCTACTTTGCACATTTAAAAAATAATATACTAATAAAGTATACATAAATTTTGTCCAATCTGTCATGTGCATATTGATTGTCCAGGCGAGAACAGCAGCGCACTGTCTTGCTGCGCGCCAGACGCGGAGCTGACCCATCCGGAGTGCTTCCCAGTGCGGCTGGATGAAGAGGATCCATTCTACCAGGACTACAACCTCACGTGCATGGAGTTCGTCAGGTCTGCACCCGCGCCTACCTGCCATTTCGGTAAGTTTCGACCAAGAAAATGGATCCGTTAATACACGAATTGTTCAATCATTAGGTGACTAAGATCAAAGCAGACTAACACTTCGTTGAGGTATTTTTCAACAATTCAATTATGATCAGTGTATTTTATTCTATCCAGGTGTAAGAGAGCAGCTGAACCAAGCGACAGCCTTCATCGACGCGTCCACAGTGTACAGCTTCACGGAGTGGAAGGCGACGCAGCTGAGGCTGGGCGCCGCTGGCCAGCTCAAGATGCTGAAGATCGGACCCTGGGAGCTGCTGCCGCCCTCCACGGACCCCAACGACGGCTGTAATACTGTCGAGATGACTGCCCAGGGACGGTATTGCTTTGAATCAGGTTTGTAAATTACGATTACATATTGGAGTCAGTTGTAAAATTTGCCATGACTCTAAGATAGAAAAGCAATTTAATTAATAATAGTTCTTTTACTCTTGTTTTCAATTATATTCTTTGGTATTCTTCCACACTACGCTCTACACTTAAGCCAAAGATTGAAATTCATTCAGCCATTATGGCGACAAACCATTAAAAAAATAAAACAACATATAAATTTTTGCATTAAAAATAATAGTAACATTGCATGAATTGAGGACACCTCCATTTAGAAATTCAAAACACTTTGCGTATCAAGGAACCATAAAAATGTAACAGTTTAATAAATATCAAACTATGAAAAACGCCAGCTTCCAAAGAGTTATGTGGAGTTGCAGGCGACGACAGAGCGAACGAGAACCTGCACCTGACGACGATGCACCTGCTGTGGGCGCGCCAGCACAACCGCGTGTCGGGCGCGCTCGCCGCGCTCAACCCCGCCTGGGACGACGACACGCTGTACCAGGAGGCGCGGCGCGTCCTCGGCGCGCAGATGCAGCACATCACCTACGCAGAGTTCCTCCCGGCTATACTAGGTCTGTCTTTCTTCACCGTCTTCCCAAAATAAAGAAGCATTATTTCGTCTGTATAGTTTTGTTTTTATATCATAAGGCGGCAAACGAGCAAGCGGTCACTAGAATCTACCAAAATGTCACAGCAACCCCTGTACATATACATCAGCAAATGACGAGTTGACGGACGACGGAGGAGACGCACATTAAGAAGATATTTTTCCTTACACGTACGTTACACGTACGTTACGTACAGCGCCACCACTTTCCCTTTCCATCATTTATCAGATAAGCCTGAAAAGGGGAAAAACTAAAATAAGACTTTGGGTACCACACTATAAGACTACGCGCTCCCACTAGATGCCTGTCTTCTGTGTCGTCGTGGTATTCCGTGGGGAGTGCCGGTCTACAGTACAAACATATTACACACCACAGTTACACAGTTAACATTACCAGTTCACTATGCATCCCAACTGAGCATCAGCTTACTCTAAATTCGTAACTAGATATGTATCCATTTAAACCAGAGTTTCCCAAAAGTATTTACCATAGCCTAATTATGAAAAAATATCTCACGATCTTTATTCGTTCAATAAAGGTATACTTTTATCCTTGTAACCGCTACTTCAGGTATGGACGTGATGTGGGCGCTGAACCTGACGCTGCAGACGGAGGGATACTCCAGCGTGTACGACCCTACAGTGGACCCCTCCATCGCCAACCACTTCTCCGCCGCCGCCTTCAGATTCGCCCACACATTGCTGCCGGTATGAACATATACAAAGAAACACATGTACAAATTTCAGCGACTTCATAGTAAAAGACGTTTTTAATTGGTTAAGGGCCTGTCCCACCAAATTGTAAATTATCTGACAACGATCCAGCGTGAAAAATATGTGATGGAAATATCGGATTTCGTTTCCTTATCTGACAGTGGCGTCAATTTTAGCTATCTGAGTCTGTATCAGCCAGTGATGGAACAGGCCCTTAGTAATACTTTTAATTCAGGACATGTTTTCTTCACATTTGCTACCTTTAGCCCAATGCGTTGTTTTATTGCAATGCTACGTTATGTTTTCTGATGACGAAAAAAACCAATTCGGAGTCGTTAGGAATGCTATTAGCAGTTATTCTTAAATACGTTACTTTTGGCACGAACTCAAATCCGCGCACTCGAGTGTCAAGATACAAATAATATTTGTAAACAGACATTGTTATTTGTATGGAAAGTAAGAAATGATTTGTTTTGTCTTGCCAAACAAGTAGACGATTTAGGCGAGATTTATTTTTAAGCATACTTACGATAACCTTGTGAACTTGCGGTCTGCCACGTTAATACAATAGCGAAAATTAGCGGTGTTCCTACTTGAGGAAAAATAGCCTTTTTCGCAACAAGACAACCTCCGTTTCTTCCTGAAAATAACTTATAAACTAAATGGCAGTGAGTGCTAACAAGGGGACAATAAAAAGAAACTAGCCGTGTATCACTAACCGATTTTTTATCGCACAGATACATTAATAAGCGTTGCATTGATTTTTGTTCTGCGTCCAGTTTCGAAATGTTCAAACGATTGTAGCTTTAGAGGTTAAAAACCGCCAGTTTTCCCGACTGTACAGAATAACGTTTCTAAAATTGATTTTCCTGTTACAAAGTACAGTCTCTGACTTATGTTATTAAAATTTAATTGTGTACATGAGTGATGACGTCCCTTGGTGTCGGTGCAGGGTCTGATCCGCAACGTGGAGGCGGCGAACGGCACTGTGAACTACGTACACCTGCACGAGATGTTGTTCAACCCGTACGCGCTGTACCTCGCGCGCGGCGCCACCGCCGCCGTCTCCTCCGCGCTGCACACGCCCGTGCACAGCGTCGACCCGCACGTCACCACTGAGGTAGCCCGCTGCACACCACTACAACGCTACACCATTACACCACTACGACGTTACACCACTTGATTATTAACAATGTATTCTTCTTCAGCTCAGTAACCACTTATTCGAGCGTCCAGTGGTGATGAACGTATCCTCTGTGCCGGTGAAGAAGCCCGGCCCCTGCGGCCTCGACCTCATCTCGCTGAACATCCAGCGAGGGCGGGACCACGGCCTGCCCTCCTACCCCGCCTGGCGAGACCACTGCGGCCTCTCCAGGCCGAAAACCTTCGAAGACCTCGATGAGATATTCGACGCATCCTCACTCAGTAGGATTTGCAAGATTTATAAGTAAGTATTAATAATTATAGATGCAAAAGTGAAC